GGCAGTTTCAGGTGCACTCTGAAACATCCAGCACGGGATCCAGATGGGACCTATGGTATGCATATCATACACATATCATACAACAGAGGGCAGCACAGACCATGCACCTGGCTTTCCAGAAATGGAAAAGTTTACCCTTGAAGCCTTGTGGACTTGCTTTAACAAAATGTACCTGGGCATATCAAATTCAAAGCCATTTAGAACACAATCTGGGACTCATTCCCAGTCCCAGAGGGAGGATGCAGGAAAATTTTGTCTTTGAGTCTCTTATCACCTCCTGCGTTGTGTCTCTCGGGGGATCAGTCTAGCACTGTTATCATATAAAAGTGTGTCAAGAAAGAGTAATTGGGGCTAGGTGCACACAGGTAATCCCAGTGATTTGGGAGGAGGAGGCAGGAGGATCTCAAATTGGAGGCCAGTCTCAGCAACTTATGAGACTCTGTCTCAAAATTTAAAAAGAAGGAGGGAATGGGGGTGTAGCTCAGGGGAAAGTGCCCCTGGCATTAACATGTACTAGAAAGAGAGGAAAAAGAGAGAAAAGCAGATCATAGCCCCCACGCCAGGCCCCTGAGACAGAATCTGTATTTTCATGAGTTCTGAGGAAAGATGTTGCTAGTTTCCGGTTTTAAGAGAGGAAGGGGGACCCTGAGCCGATATGAAATTTCCTCTTCAGGTGACTCAGGAACTCACAGTGTGCTCCCATCCACCCGTCTATATTTGTTATTTGTCCTGTGAAGGCTAAACAAGGGAACACTGGGACAAGATGTTCCGAAGATATTAAAATGGGTTTTTTTCCCCTTCTGGTACTGGGTATTGAACCCAGGGGAATTTTACCACTGAGCTACTCCCCATTTCCTTTTTATTTTTATTTTGAGACTCAGTCTTACTAAATTGCCAAAGTGGCCTCAAACTTGCCATCCTCCTACCTCAGCCTCCTGAGTGCCTCCAGAAGGCCCTTTCTTGTCTCCTGTACGTTAAGAAGCAGTTAGAATGGAAGCACATCCTCTCCACAGGGCCTACCTTCGTCTCCAGCTTAGATCCCCTCTCTCTCTCTGCTACACACCTCCTTATTTCAGGTCTCCTAAGCCCAGACCCAGTCCCCATCCCCATGGGTTCTCTGTTCCTTTCTTTATAATCAAACCCAATGAAAACTCATTGGCAAAGATTCTTTGCTTGCCCAAGATTTAGTTAGGCCAAGAACCTTCCCGTCAGCTCATCTGTGCATTTCCTGGTCAAATCCAGTTTTAGCAAAGAGGCCCCCTAGCTCGTCTGTCCTCACTATCTGATCACCCCTGCTATCTGATCAGGGTTCCCCATCCTCTACCACCCCTCAGGTGATGTCTGATCACCCTGGCATGTCTTCAGCAAGAATCCTACTAGGTTGGCTTAGCCAGAATCCTCCTGCCCCTGATATGTCTCTTCATCATTTATTTTCTTTTTCTTTTCTTTTCTTTTCTTTTCTTTTCTTTTCTTTCTTCCTTCCTTTCTTTCTTTCTTTCCTTTCTTTCTGTCTCTTCATCATTTATTTTCTTTCTTTCCTTCCTTCCTTCCTTCCTTTTTCTTTTTTTTTGCATTGAACCCAGGGCCTTGTACATGGGAGGCAAGCACTCTACCAACTGAGCTATGTCCCCAGCCCTCTTCATCATTTTCTATCCTGTGACTCCACACTGTTCCTTGGCTCTCAATTCCTACCTGCCCCTGTGGTATGCAGAGTTGAATCCAATCTCTCTCCCTCACTTCAGGAGCATGTGGTAGTGGTCCCTGGATGAAATCTTCCTTACCACGCTTCAACAGGTCTCACTGATCCCAGTGCAGTCTGCTGTCTGTAATCCCAGCAACCTGGGAGGCTGAGGCAAGAAAATCATAAGTTCAAAGACAACCCCAGCAACTAAGCAAGAACTGTTTTGAAATAAAAAATAAAAAGGGTCAGGAGTTTAATTCAGTGGTAAAGTACCCCTGAGTCCAATCCCTAGTACCATTAAAAAAACAAACAAAAAAACAAACACTGAATATTGTATTTTTTCCTAACATTTTTTT